CTTATATAGTTTTTTTCCTTTTGAGCCATTATGAATCTCAATTTTTTTAAATGGTACTTTGTTTTGTTCTTACTGTTTTAAATCCAACTAAAACCGAAAAAACAATTCACTGCCATCAAGTCGATTCTGACTCATAGCAACCCCCATAGGGTTTCCAAGGCTATAAATTTTTATAGAAGCAGACTGCCTCATCTTTCTTCCATGGAGCAGCTGATGGGTTCGAATCACTGACCTTTTGATGAGCAGCCAAATGCCTTAACCACTGCACCACCAGAGCTCCTTTAAATCTATCTACTTGATGCGTGTTTTACAAGTTGAAGAATGAATGTGGCTCTCAGAGAGTTAGCTGTTGTCATCTAATATAGTTAGCTGTTTTCAACAATAACTCATTAAATTATTACTCATATGATTTAACACACATTTCAAAGCCCCTAACATGCAAGGCAGAAAAAGTCCACTGGAGTTGTTACTCCTTAAAGACATCTGTCAGGGAAAACCTCATTTTTAGGAAGTTGGCAGTGCATGCATTTTTATGAAACTGGCAGTCCTGGCTAAAATGCAGGTCTTTAGTGCATTCTAGGAAATAAAACTCATTCATTCATTAAATCAGCATTTTGGTGCATGTTTAATACCAGCCGTTAGAGATGCAGATATTATGAAGGCATAGAACCCCGTGCAGAGCCAGACCGCAGCAGTGCGTGGGGACCTCCTGCCCCGGCTACCACAGGTGGGAAGGAAGGTGCAGGCAGTGAGAGTGGTGTTCTGGATGGGGGTTTCCGCAAGGTGGCCTTTAGACGATACATGCTCCTGTCCTTCTGTGGTAGCGTTAGCCAGCTGATGTGAGCATTGTCGATTTCACCACATGCACATATTTAAATGAATCATCATCATTTTGTCACCACTACTTTTTAAAAATAGTAAATGTGAAAATAGAATGACCTGTGCATTTGGGTTCTAACATAGCATGAATTCCAAAATAAAATGAATGTATTGCCTGTAAATGTTTAAAGAGTTTGTTTTTATTTTGTTTTATTTTCCAGAATTTCATAGCAGGGTCCGGAGAGGTGAGGTTTTTATTTTTGTTTTTGTTTATTTTTCAGGTTATTGAAATTCGAACTATGGAAGCCCCTTATTTTCTCCCAGAGCATATTTTCAGAGATAAGTGCACGTATGTTAATTCTTTACATTTTAAGGGGGGGGGGACAGGGACTCTAGAAGCCGATCAGTGATTATCCAGGAGTGGACTATAGTGGTGATGGTTTTCTGGTGCTTTATAGTCAGTCAGTCTGTTTCTTCATTTAATCTGTCCAGCTTCTTTCTTTTGCACATTATAAAACTAGGTTCAGAGCACACATGTTGACAGTGTTGCAATTAAAAAAAATTATCTTTCCTTTTTCAATTATGGGGATATGATTCTTACACAGCAGTTTTTGTGTCCTCATATGTAAATGGATACTCCC